TCTGATGATAATTTCGCCTATTCTCTTAATAGATTTCATCAATGACGTAATTAATATTAACTCTTTTTATTTAGAGAGATGCAAATAGCGGTTACAGAAGGAAATCTACAGAATATTCCGCATCCTTTTAACCTACTGTACGGATTTCTTCTGAATTTTTGTATGTTTGATCAGTTGCGGATTTGTTATCATATCGTCCAAAATCTTGTAATCCATCTAGTGATTACTTAAGCATATTAGTCTATAATTTCCACATCATTTCAGTGAAGCCATCACACCAGCCCCAAGTAGCTAAAAAGACATGCGGTTTAACAAACTTGTAACAATGGCACTACTTTTTTTTCACAACTGCTGATAGCATTAATTTATGAGATTTGGGACACAAACCGAACGTGAATTTTGCACACAAAACAAGCCAAAGAAGAAGAAATATTTGCATCAAGTTTTAGACAAGCATTTGTTAATGCTGGCAATGACCTAAACATCTCACCGTCATGTATGGTTGTTGTCAAGCCTAAAATTTATAGGAAATTATTTCAAAGCAACAGCACGAAATAAGGAACCAGTTGCTAGTGCTCAATGTCCTTTTTTTAGTCTAAGAATTCATTTCATTAGTCTAAAATTAAAATAATAATAATAATAATAATAAGGAACCAGAAAAATACGGCAAAAAAAAAACACTGGCAATGTAAAAAAGGATTGTAATTATTAATCAGTTTCTAACGGCTGTTCGCTTTCCCTTGGTCTTATTTTTAATGCGAAAGCCTCTTGGTTTGAAACTGATTTGAACAGGCTCAACTGGCTGACGCCAGTAATGTAATAAATATAATACCTACTATATATATATATCAATCAACGTAACCGCAGTGCACAAGAGTTGATTATAATTTCTGATTTTGTCTATCCGTCTATTGATATCGCGGTTAAATTGATCTCATATATGATATTAAATCGAATCGATGTTAGTTGCTTCAATAATTAGCGAGTGGGCAGAAGAATGTCCCGTAACCCATACCAGCGGTCCGTCCATTTAAATACGTATTTAAATCGAGTCAGAATTTGATACGAATCACGACTCTAAAGACTTTATTGGTCATCAAATGCTTGCTTTTAGGCACTGAAGACATTTTAATAAAATAAATATTTTCATATTTTCTCCATTATTCGGTTCTTTGCCACTTCGTTTCAAAAAAGTTCCTATAAAATTGATGTTCTTTTTAGGAAATTATTATTTTAAAGTATTGCGAAACAAGAAACCATTCACAATAACTAATGTAAACTTTCTTAAAAATCAGATTTAGAAACGATGAAAATTGAATAAAAAAGAAAGTCGATGGCAAAATAGAATGAAAAAACTTTCATACTCCAAGCGCGAAGTAACAATTGCTAGAAGAGATCATCACGCGACACATATTGTTTTGTATGTTGTTTCTAATCTCACTCATTTATGCATTTACTCCATTATATGATTTACGCCAAAAAAATCTATAAAGTTTCAATAAACAGTTTTACTGATCAACTGCTCTATTTTTTATTCATTAATGCTGTGAGGGAAAGCAAAAGTATATACATGTATATAAGATTTATATACAACTATTTCGACATAGGTCTTAACCTAATGCGATACATCTGTACATATATACATATATCCCGAAGTTAATTGCTAATTTTAATATCAATTGTCGACGAATTATTTTATATAGACGTACATTTATTTATATCCCTGTAATATATTATATATGTCTATATATAGGGTCATCCATCATATAAGTGTTTTTTTCTTCTTCTTCTTCTTTAAATTTGATATAAAAACTAAACGTTCAAATAAACGTTAATTTCAGATGTTTATCTAGTTAGTTAACTTAATAAACGATATAGTTGACACGCCCACTTTATTACAATAGGTAAAGTTGAGTGTTCCTAACTCTTCTTCCAGAAACTTTATTTTCATAAGATTTAATCAAGACTTTTAAATTCAAACCAGATGTCCATAACTTGACTAAAAACTAGCTATCGAATAAACTGCTGCTTAATCCCTATGCGTATACGATGAGTCTTTCATGCTCTTTTCAATTTTGAGCTTAAATTTTGGTATAGGGCATATTAGCATTGTGCATCTATCTACACGCAATACCCGAAACGACTTGAGGTAGACACTTCTTACTTTCCGAATTGATTCACGATTTGGGTCGCCCGCTGTCCATTTAATGTCTGGCCATGTATTGTGTATTGTGTTCAACCTATATGTCGCAAATTATTGACATATTTTTACTGAAATATGGTATACCGAGGTCATTTAGTTCAAGGGCGATTGCTATTCGTAATCGGAATTCGATTCGGATCAGACCGGTTTCTCGGCCACTTGCAAGATAGCGCCTTATGAACAATTGTATAGGATATGCGTAGCATAAGTGTTACATGGCTAGCTGTAAACTTTTTACCCGTCTTCAGTTTATAAACGTTAAGTCCTAATGATTTATTTTCGGCAATTATTTTGTGGTAAATGAATTTCATCGGCCTTAACTTCGAATGTAAAAAAGAAAGGCAAAGAAAAATTGTATTTAATAAGAGAAATAAAATTTTTTTTTTTTTTTTTTCTAATCCGCCTGAGTGGCCGAGTAGGCAAGAGTCTCGACTGGCAACTCAACGGTCGTGGGTTCAAATCTCAAGTGCGGTAGAGTTTTTAAGAAAGCCGAAAGCCTTAGATGCTAGTGCTTTAAGACTTTAGCCTTAGAATTTATTCTCTGGCTAAATTTATAATAATAATAATAATAAAATTATTTTATGAAAATTTTATTCAACTTACTTTAAATATTTATTAGAGTAACAAATGTTAGTCATATTTATTTATAAGAAAATTTATTTCAATCAATGAGCTTTGAGTTTTGATCAAGCCATCTGCGATCGCAGTTATAAGCCGAGAGACAAAAAGCATCCAATCTTTTGTTTCAAGCGGATGTTCCACAAAAGCTATGAGTAATGAGTACAGGACTTATAATTTTTCCTCTCCTTACGATCTTATGTGAAGTTGTCAATTAAAACACGGGAAAAATGAAAAACTACTACAATTTTTTTTCACTTTTTATGAGACTTCTTCCATAGTTGCTCTACATGTATCGTGGTGTGCACAGTTTCCATTACTTGCAGTCATTTTTCGAAAACAAAGTCAAACATTTCGTCCATATATAGTTTGTGATCTTACCTATGTATTTTGTATGTAGCTGCACCGTATGTATGATCGTTTACAGATGTATTAGTTAACCCTTTATTCAGTAGCGATTTACTGTTCGAGCTGCTTTTACTTTGCACATAATTACAATTCAATTATGGTCGATACGTTAGCCGAATTACTTAGAACTTATAGAAGCGGTATTCTTTTGGTTTCATATATCATAGATAAGGTAGAGATCAACAGAACATTGGCATAATGATCATGGCACTCTCTGCTTCTTTACGAAAAAGGGGACAGTTTTCTTGGGCACCGCAACTATGTGAACCTTCGGGGGATCTTAGACGTTCCGAAACCGTCATCTATTCGCAGTGTTGCTTATAAACGGCAGTTGTTTGCTTTCAAGTTCTTATTTATTCGAGCGTGTCAACTACTTGGCATAGAAGGGTTTAAGACTTACTTTCTATAACCTGGCAACGAGTTTTTCTCTTGAAAGCCTAAGAGGACAATATCTTCTCCCATACCGTTCTTTGTCATGGAAGCCACAGTACTTACTAAAGTTCTGATGGCGCTACCAAGTATTAAAGTATTGTGGCACAGTCGGCAGTGCTGAATGCCTCTCCTGGAGATGTGAAAGGTCCTAAGATAAGCGTGGCGCCGGATGCATCCAAGTCTGTATGCCAACGCTTCATTTTAAAGGACGATAAGCGAAGAAATTGTGGATGCCTACGGAGCTCAAATAGGATTGCTCCTGATATGAGATGTATTTCCCGTCAAATGGCCGGCATGAATGAATGTCGTCTTGAGTGATTGCTGGGCGTAGCACTTTGGCGAGTCTCGTGGTGACTGTGCCAACTCCGTAGTTTCATGGGGCCATTTCACAATGAGCTGATAGACACACCTCGAGGTGTAAGGCCTCCCTCCTTGAATGGGAATTGTCTCAATTCTTAGACGGCGCCGGTTATCGCTTATCAAATTAACTCGTGTGTCTTCGGCCGCTGTAAGGCTAAGCCATTCAAGATTGGCACCCACTTTAAGTACTGTACAAATCTGAAGTAATATTCTTAATATAATTATAGAACAACAACAACAACAACAACAACAAGGGAGCCCTTTCTAAATACAAGCCCGGCATGTAAGTATTGCAATAATTGCAATTGATCTCCGGTTCTATACAATTCAAATGATGGCGAGAAGTAGAACTATACTCTTATATGGATGACAAGAATCGAATTTCATATCTGTTGTCCCATCACTTGCGCGATGCAGTAGAAGGAAATTGAAACTATCAACGCTCGTGTTTGACCACGATTGACTATCTCGGATATATCGTACGTGATTTATTGAATGCTTAGACTTTGATTGAACTCAGCTACAAGTCTCTGTTTTATTTACACATTACACATTACACATTACACATTACACACACACACACACACACACACACACACACACACACACACACACACTTAATCAGTTCAGCATGAATTTTTTTTTTTATTTTTCAAAATAAATTAATTATGCAAATAAATAAAGTGAAAATATATTTGCTCGATATTAAAAGCAAATTTCGATAAATTTCGAATACTTAGCAAAAAGAATCTTTTCAATCTATTATATATTAATAATAGTTGGTATATAGACATTTATGTACCAGAACATGTACGTGTTTATATTTTACTAATTATTTATTATAAATAATATAAATACATGAAAGAGCTTAAATAAACAATATCCACACTTTCGCCAAATTACAATATTTGCACGAGAAAAGAAAAGAAAACAAAGGAAAGGAAAAGAAAAGAAAGGGGAGAAAACAATTTACACCTTAATCTACAACTAATCAACGCAATTTGGATCGATACACATTGCCTCAAAAATTCGACATTGGCATTGAGATTTCTGCAATTTCATCGGAATCGCTGCATGATGAGAAAAAGAAATGAAAAAAAAAAAAAAAACGAAAATTTATAAAAAAAAATTAATTTTTATTTGTGTCGTAAGAGAATTGAGTGAGCGAATCGAGCTTACATTTCCTCTTCGATTTTGCGTAAAAAATTTTGTATTTGCTGATTTTTACCAACCAAGGCATACAGAGAACCGAAACCATGAATGGCAATGAATAAACAAACCACGTAGTTGATATGCGTCCTCTCACCGCGATAACAATTGATTGCAAACGAACACATGCACACCAGCCAAGTGGATAAAGTGTAACCAAAAAATTTCCAAAACGATTTAAAGCTTTTTTTCAAAAAACAAAAAAAAACACAAAAAGCAAAAAGAAAAAAAAAACATAATACAGAGATAAGAAGAAGAAGAAATTGACATTGGTAAACCTAATCTTAAGCGAACTTCGATCGAGAACTATGCGGATCGTATAGTATGTACATTAAATAGAGTAGAAGAACACGTACGGCCCACCCTACGTACCTAGCGGTCGAAACAATAATCCGATCCAAACCATTTTCAATAGCGTTTACTCTTGGCCCATTGTAAGCTGAACAGAAGGAAAGAAGGCAGACAGACAAGTGGACAGGTGGATGGACAAGCTTCTGTTGATTGAGGAAATGATCGGTCGGTATAATAAAACATGGATCTATCTCAGGTCCTACTCTGAGTATTACATACATCCGCTTTTAATTAATATACCCTTTTATGCCGCAAATGGTATAAAGCACAAGATCATTGAATGTCTTCCAGAGGGGCTTGATCGGTAGTATATATGTGGAAATTGCTTAAATTTCAGAGGTGCCTTCAATTTATTGCCATTAAAGAAACATTTAATTATTAGTACGCATAAGCATAACTAAATCACTTGGTATGTGTTGCGATAGAGACGATCTACGATTTTTATCGTTTGATTCCAGGTTTTTTATGTAACTAAGACTACCGTCGAGCTTCATAATCTGTACTTAATGCATGCTCTAATAATGAAAACGTAATAGCATATATATATATATATATATATATAAATATATATATATAGATATATATATATATATATTCATTTATATAAATTTACCGATTACGTGAAACACTGGCCATTAGTTTGTTGACATCAATGTCTGGTCCGTCACTCAATTTTATCAACGAAAGTATATAAAATATGCCGCTGAATACGCAAGATAACAATATCGGTACATATAAATACACCAAAATCGACCAGTTGCGAGCTGATATATATATATATATATAATTTAATAAAAAAAATGCATACTTTGTCACTAATACAAGTGTACTTACGATCAAACCAACAAATTTCATTACCGAATACCGGTCGATTATTATACAGATCGAAGCTAACAAAAAACGACCAACAGGCGGCTATGATGACAATCGGGAAGAATATGAACCAAAACATTAAATTGCTTAGAATGATGCCAAAGAAACTTAAATAGAAATTGAAGCTAATGAAGCTTAAGATATAAAACGATAGCACCAGATATAATAAAGCAAAGCTGGCTGTAATGAGAATTTAATTAAATTAAATTAATTAATTTCATTAATTAAAATTAATCATACTATATATGTAATATAATACAATACATACGTATTTTCGAGCAAGCATATTTCGACATATTAGCTGGATTGGTGAGAGTTAAATGGGCCAGCAATGAGTAACCAACTATAATACATAATGTATAAGATTTTATGGCCACTCCATAGAATGTATTGCGTAGATCTGTGCATAATAAATAAACGAATAATATGATGATCATGCAAATGACTGTGATAATGAGACCTAAAGAAAAAAAAAAAAAAAAAAAAAACGGAAATAACAAAAACATTATCCTGCTTAGTACAATATATAAAGAATATAGAATATGTGTATTATGTAAAGATAATGGAACACACGTGTAATGTTATTATATTATAATTTGTTTGAGACTGACTGACTGACTGACTGACTGACTGACTGACTGACTGACCGACTGACTGACTGACTGACTAACTGACTAACTGACTGACTGACTAATTTAGAGCATCTCGATATGAAGTTATACCTCTCTTTCTCGCTATCTCTCTATCTATCTATCTATCTATCTATCTAACTATCAATTTATCTCTCTAAGTATATCTCTCTCTCCCTTTCTCTTTTGGACCGGACCTTGTTTACCTTAAATACCAAAAAGGGTTTTTTGCTATTTATGGGTCCCCTCACTATCCTATCACTCTATGAAGATTAATTTTTCATTACGCGATTTAAATTGATTTCAGAAAATATTCCATACAACTTGCGACTGGAATGGGCAGTGGAATTTTGAGTTGTGGATGTAAATCTCTTGAAAATTCTCGATTCTTTTGAGTCTGCTTACAGATTAAATCAGATTTATTTTCAAATTTAAAGTTTGTGCATTTCCTTACCTTTGCCGCAGATGGACGGTCAGATAACGTTAAAGCGATTGAAAATTTGATGCTAATAAATTAAAGCATAGGTAACATAGTACATATAGAGCGCATTCTAAAGACAATCAATCACGACTTTTTCAAAGTCGAATTTATGTATGGCGCCACCTATTGACAGCTACCTGAGTTGAGTAAAAGTTTTCTTCATTACAAACATATCCGCTATCACTCGACTTTTGCCTTTTGGATGGTCTTAATACTTTCACAGAACTTCCGTAAAAAACACGTGAACAGCAAGCATTCGTGCATAGGTGGCGCTACGAGAATTTGTAATTTTGAAAACCTCTCCCTTTTGCTTCAAGAAAGAAAGAGAGAAGATCTATGCTGCTTACTTACACCGCGTACCTTCCTTTATCATCTATCAATATTTACTAGAGTTACAAACTAGTTCCGTATTAGGGACCTAAAAAATGAAAACTACTTTTAATCGTCTAATCGTGCGCTTCATGTATATTATTGCTCTGTATTGCTTATAATATGCTTCATAGTGATTGAAATGTTCAAAAAAGAAGAAGACATAAGCATAGAGTTAAAATCGTCTCGACTTTCCTTATTCCGCTACTGATAAGTTAACAATTTTTTTTTTTTTGCTTTTATTGTTTATTTATTTCGGATCTGTAAAGATAGCTTGCGCGGTCATAAATTTGTGTGAGGTAAACCGGAATTGTTCGGATGGTTTGAAAATGAAATACGATTCGCTGATCACAGCTAAAGGCGGAAAGAAACAATTTAAAATATCACAATATATCAATCACTTAGAGTTGATGACGTTTCAAAATCGTAATGAAAAGTATGCCGGAACTGTCTGATAATTTTCTGCGACTTTACTTTCAAAGTTTCGCCCGCATACTCAAGCAATTAAGGAATTTGTCGAATTTTTGGCATACTTTGCCGAAGGGATCCGTTACCGCTCGGGGTAACGGGTACACAAATTTTATAAACTATACGTCTGCAAAACGGATGGAGTCACAATGCTTATCGTACACATAGTAGAGAGGGAGATAGATTTTTTAATGAGGACCTGACCTTGCTTTCATATAAGACATGTTCGACATGTTCGCAACGGTAACTTGGATGCAACTGTGATAAGGCAACTGTAATATGAAGAATGCTGCTTTAGTTTAGTTTTTTCATATATATATATCAGATCTAAAGTGTATTCAGATTATCTCGTACTTCTTTATACCGTGCGTATTAATTGATTGAATTTTAACGTGAAACTCATTTACGTTATTTGGTTTCACGAATATCCTTAGCATGCTATACGTATTGCATGCAGAAATTGCAAAAAAAAAAAAAAAAAAAAAAAAACTTTTATTTTAATAAACTGTCGGTATATAAACTTAATTGTACCCTTTGTCTTGAATGCGATAAACGTTGAAAAAGTTCATACATTAACTTACATATGGCATAAGTCCATTCACGTACACCTAGTATGAATGGTAAGCGCTCCGGTACACAAGCCAACGGTTGCCACTGCCAGTCCATCTCATTGTCTTTATTGGATTCGGGAAAAGCACTAAAGCAATAATGCTTCGAGAATAAATGATTTTTATAAGCGATTGTGCCATTTTCATGCAATGTCCAATGGACATAATGATTGTCTTTCGTAATAGTACGCATGTGTTCGCAAGGTGTTCCATGATGCACAAGAAAATGCCCTGATGTCGATATCGTACCAATCGAGCCGTTTGTAAAACGTATCTCCATAAAGTCTTGATCCACAAAATTGTCGACTATCGATGAAATCGGTGAACAACTTTTATTTTCAAGGCTATAGAAGAAACCTTGCGAACAACAAAATCGTATACAGGGCTTAAGTTTACAGACACAGGCGCGTAAATGCCGTTCTGTTTGCACACGTATACCGTTTTTAATGATGAAGTCATAGACAGCTACCAACTCGGGCGGTATAATCATCCATTCATAAATGTAAGAATTATTGATGTGCTGAGCGTTTGAATTGTTCCCAATGCCGTATTGCTCATGAGGATAGCTGCCAGTTATGTTGACGGTATCGATAAAAGCGCAAGGATACTTTGAACTCGCTTGACTGTTCTGTGCCAACGCAAGCAACGGAAACACATTGAATGCGACTGCCAGTGAGAGCATAATTAGAGCCGATACGCGATTTGCCCGCATTTTACCAAAAAATATTTCTCTATTTTATTGTGAGTGTGTGTTTTTGTTTTTTGTTTTTTTTCTTTCTTTATTTTCGATTTTTTTTTTTTTTTTTTGTTTTTTTTTTCTTCTTTTCTACCTACATTTATGAATAAATTTTTATTTTATTTGATCGATCTGTAATTTTTATTAATAGCTTGGTATGCATAGCGCACCGACTTTGCTAATGTTATGAATTTTTTATGAATGGATCAGTTTTTAGTATCTACGATGATACCTGTAAGCATTAAGTCACGCATACGTTTATATGTTTAAAGGTTTATACAATGGTTTCATTACAGCTTGCACTTAACACCGTACGCTGATGACGCTATTGTTCAAAAATATTTAATTCACTTTATTGTTGTTGTTGTTTTTTCATAAATGGAATACTTTGTAAATGTTAAATATTCACTAACAAGTACGCGCATAAACCTAGTCACATATCCACACCCACATATCCACATTAAGACAGTTCAAATCGTTAAAGGCGGGGTAGCACACCAGTACCAGGTTACCGTATACACGCATTCGTTTCATTAGTATTATGTACTCTTTTTCCGGTTTAGAAACGCAGAATTCATCATTTATACACACATATATATATAATTGTATATATTTATCATACGTATGTCAGCATGGCATATATTGCAGGCGAGGCAATGGTTTTTCCTATGAAATGAAATGAAATCAATTTAATTTTTTTTTTTTATAAAAAATTTTCATTTTTCTCCAGACGTTCATGTAAACTGCACCTGAAGCGCTTTCGAACACAACTAACTGACTGACCAGATGGCTAAATTCCTTAACGTTTCGGGGATCTTGCTTCGTCAAGTTTCTATTATTACTAAAATATTGTTACTATATATGTAAAAATTAAGTTATATATTTATATATATATGTATATATAAGGTTAAGGTTTATGTATGTACAGCAGACATATACATTTGCACATCTATTTAATGTCATACTTTATTTGTAGTAAAATCTTGTATATATATAGATACATATATACATAGTAACAGCATATATCCTAGTTGTTTACGGTTAATTTGTCTATTCAACTGTTTAACCAACAAGTTGTTGCTGTTTTTTTTTATATTTTCTGAGTCTGTAATTGTATACCGTTTTAAACTATATTCTTCGTCTGTGCATATATATACACATATACACATATACCCCTATATATATATATATATAGATGGACTTATGCATATTTACATAGAGTATATATATGTGGTATTTTATTATATTATATATATATATATATATATATATATATATATGTAGTCATGGTGTAAAAGTTCAAAGATTAGAAATTTGGCGCCATATCACACCAAATGCTTTCCTTCAAAGAAGTGAAAATGATTTCAATTAAATTTTTTTTTTGATATATTCTAACAGTGTCAAGAATAATTCTCATCAATGACTGCTATTAGGTAAATATAAAATTTATTGTCTGTATATGTGTGCTAGCGAATAGACAATTAGGAATGAATTATGGTTAACGAATTTAAATGAAGAATTTTTTTTGAAATAAATGTCTATCTAAATAGCACTTAGAGAGATATATCCTAGCAAAAATCTATTTACTGTGATAATTGCGTAAAATCAATTAGAAGAACGATAAGGTCTTCACATTCACCGACTAATGAGCAACCGAGAAAACAAGTGAACAGAAGTAAGAAAATTATATTCGCTCGTGTCTGAATCTTTTATACCCATCACTGTAATCCTAAAAACAAAAAAAGGGGAAAAATGGAACTTTTATACTTTATAATATTCGGTGGACAATGGGGCCGATTTCTTCTATATTCCGAATGAAAGTGAAAATTTATATAGTGTAAGGGTTGTACGTTATGAGTAATAAGCAGAAAACAGGGAAAGCAAAAAGGTTCACAATTTTTATTTATTTTTTTTTGGATAGGTGTGTAGGTCTGCTCTTTGAAAAAGTTGAGTCCTTTTCAAGTTTGAGTCTTACAAGCTTGTAGACGATATCCTCATTTACGCAGAAGGACAGATGGACAGATGAGTGGATGAACATGCTTAGGCACATTCCGAACCCATCCCTTATGGGGATTTTATTCTCTTTTCTACTCGATTCCATGCATTATGAAGGTTTTGAAAAACACTGAAATTATCACACTATAATTGAATGGGCGTGACCGATATTCTTCAATTTTGTAAAGATACCAAACAATCGCCCCCCCCAGTATACATTCAATTTGTGTAGCCTTAACAGTAGCCTTGACAGTTTCTTAGTAATGAGGAAAAAAGCAAATTTTTATGTCTTTTGAAAAGCAGAGGTGTCCTCACTCTACGTAGTACGGTGGGCGTGTTCTTCGATCGATTTTGCCCATTGCGACTCTTGCGAATTTGAACTCAATAGCTTCATATTTGCGGCCAGAAGAATGATTACAATGGACATTGGACGGACGACCAGACAGCCTGAGGTTAAACAGATGGACATGATGAAATCGATTCACGATCTAATGATAATCAAGATATATATACTTTCATCGAGTCGCTGATGCTACCTTCTAAGCGTTGCAAACGCAATGACAAATTGAATGTACCCCTCATACCTCTTCGATACATATCAAAACGATATTTTCAAGATATTTTCTAAAAGCTCTTTGTACAAGATGTCGTAAAAGTGACCTTAATCGATTAAGTAATATGGCCACAACCACATAAAATAGTTCGAGCTGGTGAACATTGAAAAATGACTCAAAAAAAAAACTATAAAGAATGCTTTGTGTAGCATTCAATTGGATTACCCATAAGGATTACGATAAATTCTGTCAAATCAAACTCCATTTGTCAGTTCACAATTCCGCTTTGGTGGAAGGAAATTACTATTCAAGAGCCAAAGTCAGACCTAGTATCGCTCAGTAATTTCCAGAAGTATCGCAAACGTATCGTCTGTAAAAAAAAAATAAATAAATCAAACATTATTCTCAACAAGTGCCAATCCTTAACCGACGTCTGTCAGAATTTCATGTCATGCCGTAAAGAGATCATAAGCCATCATATTCACTATTCTTCACTTGAACAATTTAGATATGAACGAACTATTACTATTACTCACATGCAAAGGCATACTTTTTATGAAAGCCCGCATATTGGAGGATGACTAAAACGTCATATGACGTTATCCAAATTCAGGGAACTCAATTCACTTCGCAAAAAAGTTATTATATTTCAGTTTCGATCAAAAAAAAAACTATAAATATGACTTTCTCCACAGAAAAAAACATGCTTTCCATGATAATCCCTATATATGTTAGAGGCGAAAAAATAGACCTAGGCGATCCAAATTTTCTATTATTAATTTTTTTTTTTAGTAATTTTGTTACTATGGACCGACCAATTTTCATCAGATAAAATAAAATAAAATTTAATCTTTTTCTGAAGGTTTTACTATGCATGAGAAACCCTATGTTAAATATGTCCCAGGTCCCAGAAATAGATCAGATGTGATTCAGATTTGTTCCGCTTAATTTTTATGCCGAATTACCATAACGAACAAGTTCCATGTGTTGAGAATCCTTATAGATATATATGGCCCACATTTGGTAAGATTGTTCGTCAACTTACTATTATGGATCAATTTTCACCGTGAAATATTGGAAATTCGTTCTTCTTACCATACAGAGAGATTCAGTTTTCATAGGAGAGATTATATGAGAGGGGGTTCAAAAAATCACCACATCCGAACCAAACTTTTCATATTAATTTATAATATCCGAAGTGCTACTACTCAGCGAGTTTTCCCGAAAAATTTTATAAATTGACGTTATATGGAAGAGTGGTCGAAAAAGTGGATCTATCCGAAGCGTTGTTAATAGGATTCGTCCTTAGGATTAGACACGTACGTGTACAAATTTTATCAAAATAATCCCAAAAATCGCGACCTGTAAGTTGAACAAAAATTTCCATTGACATCAGATCGATTCAGAAAATGATTCCGAATTGAATCAAATGCAGATCTATCTTAAGCCTTTTTAGGTGTTATATACCACACGTGGTGTAGAGTATAATGACGGGACCATTGTTAAAACTGAATCCTGATTTAAGAGTTTAGACAAATGGTGGTGTGAAAAGGGCATTCACATGAATTGCAGGAGACGATGTTAATGCTTAATCCCGTCAACTACTGACCGATATATTATTCGTAGTTACCAAGGCCAAGAAAATTGGCCGTCTGTAGAGCGTAGGTTCTTATTACTTGCGTTGCGTAATTTTTTGTCACTCCATATATAAGCTTACGAACATAGGCTTAGACTCGTTAATTTAGGCTTGCTAAAGAAACGCAGATTCGCTAGATTTTGAACATGGCCTCTATGTGCGATTCGCCGAACGGTAGAACCGAAACATTAGCTTATTAAATAGAGTTAATTCAATTTCAGCGAATGAGATTTCAACAATGCAGACGCAATTATAACCTATATACACCGCTCTCGCGTTGTGTGTAACAACATTAACAATACATAAAAATTTCATTGGCCGATTTTGCTTGTTTGCGTCAATCTAACGGTACACTTTCGTTCCGCGCCACATGTAGTGAATGTTGGCTGTGAACATGCAGATGTTTTGGCGCTTACGAGCTTTTTTCTTCCGCTTTATTTGTTGGTTTTAATCGAGTATTCTTTCTTAACTATTATATACATACATACTTACCAGTGTACCATACAGATATAATGGACTTTTTTTTTTTTTTTGTTTCGATTGTCGTTTATTAAAAAAAAAGTATATTTATTCTTGATCAGCATCAAATTCTGAATTGATTTAAGCATGTCGATCTGTCCATCTGTCCCATCCGTTGTAAATATTCTCCTGCCCGCAAAAATGAGGCTACCACCTTCAAACTTGGCAGAAATATTGCAAGCTCTTGCTCGCAGGTTCATACTGAAAATGGGTTAAAATCGGTGTAAGGATACGCACCCAGCACTACGTAAACTGAGAACATCTCTTTTCTTTTTCAAAATGAATAAAAAATTGTTTTTTTTTTACTCATTACTCATAAGCTACAGCAGCTGAATCTATGAAAATTTAAACTTGTATTCTATTGACGCTATATGTTATAGTATTTCTAAAGAAAATGGAAATAATCGGCCACGCCTACTCAATTTTATAGTATAGCGTAATTCAGAAGCAAAGTTTCAAAAACCCCGTAAAGCGTATAAATTCTTGGCCAGTGTCAAATTCGAAATACACCGAAGCATCCCCATCTGTCGATTTCTCCTTGTGCGCAACCGTGCAGTGTCTGATGGTATTTCTTTTCTCCCGCTAGCAAAAATGAAGATATTGTCTATAAATTTGCAAAAGAATTTTGAAATTACCTAAGCTTTTGAAAGGACAGACCTACCGACCTGCAGACGAGCCCATGCGACAAAAGCTTCTATTTTGAAAATAACGCCCACTCCATCTTATAGAGCATGAAAATTCATTTAGTTTCTTCTTTTTAGTCACGACAGCGGGTATAAACGATTCGATCATGACCGAATATCTTACTTGTTTTTTTTTGCATATACTAGATTAGACTATTCGTTTAGCAGTTTTAGTAAAGTCAAATATTTTATTGATATTAGCGCTCCAGGTAATTCCAAGATGTCCGCAGGATTAGTTGCTCTGTCAAGAGTAACCGAAAGATTTTGCCCACAATCGCACATATCAAGAGAATAGCTTTCTTATCCATTGATCCCTTGATCGGATATAAGCTTAACCATAAATTTTTGTCCACAATCGCGCATATCGCGAGAGTAGCTTTCTTATCCATTGATCCATTGACGGCATGCAATGGCATGCCCAAATCGCCTTTTTGCAAATCTTTTCATCTTAATCTTTTTAGGCATTGAGAGATCATTTCAATAACTCTTGTTAAATAAATTTATATATATATATATATATATATTTTTTTTTTTTTTTTTTTTTTTTATTACATATATAATTTGCAATTGAATGAATTGCGAATTCTAAAAATTCAATTGGATTATATAATATATAAAAGTGTTATATAAACATATGCATATGTATATTTAGCATATATGTATTTAGTATATATATTTGTAAATTGCCAAGGACTTCTTACTGCACATAACAATAAACAAAATGTTTTTTTTATTGTCTACGTTCGCTATAAGTTTCTGTAAATATGCAAAAAAAAAAAAAAAAAAAAAAAAAAAAAAAAAAACGGGATTTTCTTAATATTCAACGACTATTGTAATTAAGTGCGTTTGTTACCGTAACGGTTGCTTCCTCTCGGCCGAAAACTTGGCGGCAGTGTATAGTCGGGACTCTTGCGCTTCTTTGAACTATTTTCGTGAAAGTAATATGAAATAAATTTATTAACATTAGTATATCTAATATATGTATACATTAATCTTTGTTTACGTACACATAAATAGTCCACCACTGTTGAGCGAAACGATTACTACAGAGTAGAAATAGAAAACCGATGATAGACAAAATCAGTATGCAAATACCGCTCCAGAAATCAATTACAAAATATTGTTCTCGTTGACGGGCGAAAATGTAGGCAAACATCTCACGCATCCAAACAGATGCTACGGCCAACATGTACACACAGTACGAATAGAAACTAAACACCGAGATAGACAGAGAGAGAGAGAGAGAGAGAAAATTTTGCATAAGTAAGCGATTCGCGATTATTTGTTTATAAATTACTTACTGATATTTAGTTATTTTAAAATCTTTACCACAAACTGTTTGCACTCCATTGGGCAAATCGTGGATATTGCAATACGTTCTCACAATACAAAATAGGCTTAGAGCTGTTGTCAGGAAAATCGGTATATACACGTACAACAATATGCCCCATAAGCGTACTATAAGAGAGAGAATATCATATATTATATGCTTTTTGTATTGTTTTTGTTTCTTTCTTTATTTTTTTTTTTGTTTTATTTTTTTCAAAGACTTGCCATCAAACCAGCAGAAATCATCGCCAATGCCCGGCTTAAAATGTCTGGCTATTTGTGAATCTTGTATAGTCTTAACTAAATATTTGAGTATAAAAGCCAATGCTATTGTTAGGCCATAAAATAATTTCAACAACCAACTATGTATGATTGTTTGTGAGAACGTTGCCCAGAAGCTACCGCTGATTATATTCAGAATTAAGAAGGACAACATTAAAAAGAAATAAGCTAAGAATCCTATAAATATTTAAGTGAACATTATATTCAGTTTTTGTTTTGTTGTTTTGTTGTACTCTTCGCATTAGTCGCGTTACTTACCTACATTGCGGCAAGCAGTTTCTGTAAGATTTAGGGGATTCTTTAAGTACAAATACACTAAAAGTGCTAAAGCTATTGTTAACGAAAATAAATGGAATATTAAACCTTCGCCGTAATTACTGTTGCGTATATCTTTAATGGCAATAAATATTACAATTATTCCGGTGTTTATTAGAATGGCAACGCTCGTGCCTAAAACAAATGAATTCGATTTGAAAATAACGTAACGTAAGAGGCAACGAGGCATACTTACATATTGCATAAATCCAAACGCGAAATCCCCTCTGATATCTCTGACAAGTTAACGGCATTAACGTCCACACTTTCTTAAATTGCAATGGCGTAAAACAATATTCATCGGTTGAGTAAAGTTTGCCTTCCCGTTGGAGAGTGCCATTCTAAGAGAGCCAAATCATTTCCAACTCATACACATAAATTGGTCAAATATTTTATATACAATTGTAGAGAGGCGTGTCAGTTAAGCGATCGAAAATTTTGTAAGCGCATCTGCCCTTGCCCTTGCCCCTACCTTTACCCCTGCCCTAACCTATCCTATAGTTTTAATAGATATTTTCCCCTATTTCCCTATGTTGTCTATCAATCAGCATAATTGTGAGCGGACGGATTACTTCCACTAAGCATCCTCGTCAACGCTACCTTGATTTTTGTATTTGTAAAGGGTAAAGGTAAACCGCGATGTAAGTCAAAGCAAGTCTTGTGCATATCCCACGCACTAAGAGATAGGTATATAAAAGCTACAGTCCTCGGGAGTGCCTTAATGAACTGCTCTATGTTATGTTAAGTTTGATATTTTTATTTGGAGAATTTATTTGAGAGTATGTGTGCCACAATATTCTTGAATAGAATGACATTTCCCAGACACCTGAGAAGATCAGTTTGCTTAAATCCGGAGCCTCGTTAAGAATTAGAATAATAGTACATATATAAAATATCAGACCCCCTGTCCCCGGAATCACTTTGCTCCCATGTTCAAATTATTATTATTATTACTTTTATTATGTTAGCGAGACTTGTTGTTAGATTTTACCTCAAATAAGTCCCATTCCCAAAATCGATCGTTCTTCAGGTCCACATATTTATTTTTGCATCCAAACTCGTAGCGTACAATAAATTTATCATTAATATTGACCTTATCTTCGATGCCAGTATAAAATTTAACATCAATATGCATTTGGCGGGAATACGTGTGCTCCTCATTTGCCGAACAATTTTGTAAACTCTCGTTATAATGCAATTTAGGCGGACAACAGAAAGTTATACAAGATTTTAAATGGCAAACGCAACCGCGCATGTGCTTAGGAGCACTATGCTGAATGCCATCGACGACTTTATAATTATATGCAGCCGTCAAATTGTGAGAAATAAGCAAGCCCTCAAATGAATAGGAACCATCCTTAAGACGTAAGCCATCAGTTATGTTAACGGTATCGGAATAGTTGCATGGCTCTTTATGATCAGCTGCCGCTGCAGAAACGACGACGATGCAGAGCGAGAAGAGAGCGAGCACGAAAGTGGGAAGATCGATAGGCAATAATTTCATATTTATGCATATTTTCATTTACCTAAAAACAAAAGTATATAACAAAAAAAAAAAAAAAAACAGAAAAACAAACATTTTTATTTTTTTGGAAATTTTAAGTCTTTTGCTGCACAAACTAATTCAGCCCAATGTTATAAAGAAATGAATTTCGTTTTCAATTGCTCAGCAACAAAAGTATCTTTTGTATATTTTTTCTTCAAATTCTTTACCAAAGTAGTCTGCGAATAAAAAAATTAAAATTTTCGCAAAAAAATCCAATTGATAGCATTTTGTTGGACAAACTGATTCTGAATTTTTTTTTTAGTTCTTGGTCTTTCTTTCTTTTTTATTTTTTTTGCTTTGAATTTTATCGAGTTTAAATTTAGATATATTTTATTTAATGATATTGCGAAGAATTTGTTTTGCACGAAATTAAAAATCAAAAAAAAAAAACTTTCCAATCTGCTATCAAATCCATTGATTATTGTTTTATTCAACTTTAATTATTATACAATTTCCCTTTCACTAATATTGGTTTTTCTTTAAAAGAGTAAAAACAACAACATATTAAAATTATTAATATATGTTTTGAGTTTGTTTTTTTTTTTCAAACTTTTTCCGCGAATTTATTCATTTGCGTTCTTTAAATATCGAAAAAAATCCTCGCAATAGAATTTTATTTATTTAATTATTTTTTTATATAAATTTTTTTTTTGCTTTCAGTAGTATTTTTAGGCTTTTGTTACGAATATTTGTATCCTATCCTGTATTTGGATTTCGAAATTATACAGTTGTGTGCGCTTGTTTTGCTTCTAAATATTAAATATATTTCAATTAATTAATCATATGGAAAAATACTTTTTTTTCTCACATATATATACACGCACATATATATATATATATATATATATATATATATAAATACATTTATATATTTACGTATATTATTTTGCACAACTCACACACATCCTTAAAAAATTCAAACATATTTTAAGCACCGCTTTTTTTTTTTTTTTTTTGAATGAGAGAACAACAATTTGAAATTTGAAATTGAAAATGTTTGAAAATTGGTATGACACTCACGTTGCTTTTTATTTTGTCTTTGCTGAGAGTAAAATTCAAAAATTGTGAGAGTCAAATATACTTTATTGTACACTTCTTATCGAGGCCTAAAAAAAAAAAACACAAAAAAATGCTGAGAATATGAAATTCAATTGGTGAGCGTAAAATTTATTGCTTTCAATTTTTCCGATTTTCGTTATGGAAGAGAGAATGAGAGATAATGTAGACAAAAGATTCTCATTCGAAAACTTTCATTCATTTTCTTATCTATAAACAAGTTTCAAACCTTAACATATTAATACTTATAGAGTTGTTTCATTCCATTATTCCACTTCTGCTTGGTTTGTGTCCAATATTTTTCGCCAACATATTGCAAAACCAAATTTCATATATTTTATATGAAAATATTTGTTCGTATTTTGTCATTCCTATTAGGTTAAGTTTTTAAAATTTGGTAAATTGATCCTAATTTTTAACCATAATTATTATGAATAATGTACGTAAATGAGATTTCTACCTTTTGTAAAGGAAGGTCCAAAACACACTGGCATGTGTTAAAAACTGGCACTAAGACGGTGATAATTTCTTTTTTTTTTCAGCTAAATTTCGAAACCCTAGCTATTATGAGAATCGTCTTTGTCTTGGAATAAACCTTTAATACGAGTTATGCTTGATTTTTTATTTTTTTTTTAACCATCTCGTAGATCTATATCTATAGATCTATCTATACATATATATTTATATAGATGTATTGTTTTTATTTGTCATCTAATAAGTATATATGACGAATTTCCATTGGACGCTCCCCATTTTTAGACTCAAACTGCGTGTCACTTTGACCATGAACCATTCCCATGTAGAATTTAATGCAATTGGTCTCACTTTGAAAACGTCAATAAGAGAGCGACGAGCAAGTAGTTGAATGCAACACTGGACGGTTGCATAAACAGGTGAATGAGCAATGATGAAATCGCAATAATATGTAGTAGTGCTGATCACAACTGCAGGAATACCTGAAGGTGAATTTTTACTAAACAGAACCGCGCTGGCAAACGCACTGAAGCTCAGTGCGACAGCTCTCATCTTGATTGTAAAGCAGAGACAATATTCAAATTCGTTAAAAATGGTTTTCATTATAAACTTTTTTGATATCTTTGGCTTTATTTATAAAAAGAACGAACAGCTTACATCAAAAACAGCGAAACATGAAAGCTTAACTAACAAACACAAAAGCAATGGCAAAAAAGATTAACTATCCAAGTTAAATGCTAAATAATTTAATGTATATAATACGTAATAAAATTCTTACATTAGGAGCGATTAAAATTTATGATCTTCTAAAGGAAAGCATGCATCACACGAGCACTTTTACTTTTACTATATAAAAGATGAGAAAGGAAAGGAAAGCAATTATCAATTGAGATCCTTGTTTTAACTTGATTGGTTATGCGAAACTTTTGTTACAAACAAAATGCATCATCGATTGTCAGTTGCTTGAAAACAAACTATTCGGACTTGGAATTTCTGTTCCTCTTTTTTTTTTTCTTCTTTCCTCTATTCGTATTGTCACATATATCACATTTCGAGATGGCTTAGTATTCGTGGACTTGATATCATTTACGTTTTCTTATAAATTTTGAAAAAGAAGCTCAGAAGACTTGTTTCTGCAGTCGTGGTGCAAGGGTATGTTAAGTTTGCCCGCACGTATGCGACACTCAGAAGGACAGCTCTTATTATATCGATCGATTCAGAATTACTTTCTGATATAATTTAAATATGTCTGTCCGTCCGTCCGTCCGTTTTGTTTTTTTTATGTTTAATCTATAAACCACAATTTTTGATTTGTTTTCGTCAAAAATGGTAAACGAACGTGTTTTCGGCCAACGACGAACATTCGAACCACTCTTCCGATCACTTCCATATAATGCACTATTTTGAAAAGTCATTATGTGAATGACTAAAGGGTTATGTAAGGTATTTAATAGCGGGCCTGAAACTGAACTATGCTCTGTTCAGTATTACTGCGCATGATTCTTTTGGCATTCGACGGAACTTGACATAGACCCGCTTTTCATTATAACAAAGCTTGTCGGTCCGCCTGTTTGTTTTGTTGTCTTGTGTTCAACCTACACGTCGGACCACTTTTTCGAAACACTTTCCATACGAAGCCGTTACATGAATAATTGTATTAAACCAAGGATATTTAATGACGAGCCGCGTCTCACTTTAGTGTTTTCACTAATGTTTTTAATCTCAATAAATTTTCAAAATATTCTCTGAACATATCAAAAAATAGCCGATAGCCTCAGATGCTAGTGCTTTAAGACTGTAATCTTAAATTTTTTATTTCACTAACTAAATCAATTATAAGAATAACAGCAACAATGTTTTGCATATCACAAGACGAGAGAGAATATATTATAAAATAGGGCCAACACAGAAACTATTTTTTCAAACACTGAGTAGACTTTGATAGTAACTTTTCTATTGCTTTGGAATTTTTCAGTTCGTAAAAATTTCCGGACTACTATTAAAATCGTAAAAAAAAAAGCCTTTAATCAATCCTTGCATGAAAACATACTTTTAGCGAAAACGACTAAGCATTTACTAAGAATATTGCTTGTTAATAGCTGATTTGCTGCAGCCGCTTAAAAAGCAGCTAAAGAATAATCTCTGATTTTTTGGTTCCACTGTAAATTTTTCAGAATTTCAGTTATTTTTTTATTGACTTGACTAGATAGATGCTTTAGACCTTTTTGAATGGAAGACAAAAAAATTTTTAATCTAAAAGAGGTTTTTTTCCTTGAAATTTCAAGGCCTTTCCGAAACCCTTCAAAAGATCATTGATGTCAGCAGCCTAACCGTTCAACTGTCTCGAATACACGTAACACATATCTCTAGAAGTTCTCTGCGTTCATTTTAAAGGTCGTTTGAAAATGAAAAGAAACGTTAGTGTGACTTGATTGTGATGATCGTTGAGGCTGATTAAGAGCAGTGTGATAAAGATTTTGATGTTAATTATGGTTATTAATTTTCTGGGGCATCTTTCACTGGGATTTCGAAACACGTGAAATGCAAAAATTTGCGATTTTGTTTGTGAGTGATTTGCGAGTGAGAGGAGAAGCAGGAAGCTATTTATAAATTATGTTCCTGGGCGCGTTTTCCGCGTTTTCCTTAAATCACGTTCGTTCCTTTCTCTCGAATTCCGTAAGGCATTCTCAATAAGTTCATTTAAAAACCCTATTCGTACTTAAATTTTTTGGTTTCAGAAATCCTACTTTTATTTTGAAAATAGGAAGAATCAGCTGCGTCCATAGAACATTAGAGAGTACGAAAATTTAATTATTATCGTTTTTTCTAGTATTTTTTTAGAATTACAGTGACGGGCATAAAAGATTCGGTCACGACCGAATATAATTTCCTTACATGCTTGCTTGTTTTTTACATTCAAATTCGTACCGGCTGCACCGGCAGATCAATTCAATACTTCAATAAATGGTTAATAACCGAATAATCGAATATTATTATTTTGTTCCCGAAAAGATTGTCAAAAGCGACGCTTTCCTTTGACTGTTTTGCATTGAAATTTTAAAAAATATATATAAAAAAAGGGAAGAAAGCGGATGAAAGCGTTTATTTGGACCTTATATATTGACGATATTGGTATTAGAATTTGTGATTTGTGCTTTGCGATTTGTTACTTTGAGTAATAAAAAAAAAAAAAAAGAAAAGAAAGTGTTGTCAAAGATGTCTTAGCAATTAGCTCTGTTCACAAAATTGTCTTTTCTTCTAACCTATAGATTGTATTGGGGAACTCTGTTGTTTCGATCATTTACACTCCACGTTAAGAAGTAATTATCATTTAAAATCTCACTTAAAATACGTATATATATAATATTATTATTTAAAAATTTGCTCTGCTCTATAATTATATAAACGTTTACATTATCTCATGGGACTTAGCTTAGTATGGTGGTTTGTTCTTTAGGTTGCAGTTGTAATAGCGATTTCTCCGATTGCAATAAGTTAGCCACACTGCTTGTAATGGTCCTGCTCGAATATTGACTTAAGCGTTGTTGACTCTTATCTCCTCTGTTCGTTAATCTTAAAAAAAAACAAATGATGAAATATATAAAATCTTATATAGTAATCCGTTTAATAAATATATAAATATATAAGTAAATAATAAATAAAACACATAAGTACAACAAATTGTTTTTTTAGGTGAAATGCTATCAAAATCAATAATAATAATAATAATAGTTAGTATAGTTACCATTGTAAGTGAGTCAATTATTCGGCGTAATATAACTTAGAATTGATTAACTTGTGGATTTGTTAATAACATTAAATATTAATTTTTATTACTTTCCAAGTGATTGACCTCTAAACCAACTAAAATACCTTTCACCTCTTTTTTAAATTCTTTGCAAGTGTGTGTGTGTTTTTTTTTTTTTTTTTCGTTTACCTTAATTTCATTAAAATCTCAAATCGTTTACTTTTTCATGACTTATGATCGCTTGATTAGTGTTGAATTGTTTGGCATTTGAATTTAATGAATTGGTCGAATTGGTTTGACTGGCACCCGTTGACTGATCATTGCAATGGAAAATTCTTGAGAAAATCTTTAATTAGTTTCATAAATTATTACAATTATTATGTTTTTCTCTTCTCCAAAAATATATATATTATTCTAGTTTAAGAAAGAAAATATGCTCATGTTTACAAATTAATCAACATCTCTGCAAAAACTCCTCACCAAAAAAAAAAAAATAAGAAGTGTTCAACATATGTAAAGAGGCCCATTACAGATATTTTCAGATATTGCTTTACGAAGCATAGTTGCTTACGTTGTTTGTTCTTCGAGGTGATCTGGGTGAGCAGCGAGAGAAGAGGGATGTGTGAAATGTCCAACATGTCCAAAGAGGCTCATTACAGATATTTTCAATGGTTGGTTGTTTTTAGAGGTGGATGGGTTAAGGAGGAAGGGGTGGGGGGTTGAAGTGCCCAACATATACAAAGATACTCTTTACAGATATTTTCAATGCCTTAGAAAGCATAATTGCTTCTTCGAGGTGGATTGGTGAGGAGGAAGGGGTGGGGGGTTGAAATGCCCAACATATACAAAGAGACTCTTTACAGATATTTTCAATGCCTTAGAAAGCATAATAGCTTATGCTGATTGTTTTCGATTGTTTTCATCAAGAATTTGCCTCGTGTTATCCCCTTTCTATCACTCTGAAAGTGTTGGTTTGATAGTTTGTTAGGAGGATAGCTTATAACAATGTAACAAAATATTGAAAAAAGATCGCTTGAAGATTACTTGAAGACTTACTTTGATCTCTAATGTCTAATGGCATCTAATAAGGAAAACATTGAGAAGTTTAAAACGCGTTATGGCATTGCAGGATCTTCAACTAAATTATTGGAAAAATATCTCTTTGCAAAATAACTAATGAATCGGTTCGCAGATAATATTTTGGCCCAAGTTTCGATATATTTTGATAAATGTTTCGTCTTATTTCGAAGGAAGTCATTTTACTTTGTTGTTGTTAGATAGAAGAAAGATTCAAGCACAACGTTATTGGCGATGCAAAACTGAAATCATTGGTGCAAAGGTCAAATTAATAACTTATTGCGATTTTATAAGATTGGCTGTAAAAAGTGCTTCGCTAATTAAGTTAACGATTGGCATAAGTTAATTGCCCGGGTAAATGTTGTTGATTATGAAAGGGATCATGTAAATATTGATCTTGAGGTTCACTAGGAGGAAGCATTGCTTACAATAGTTCTTAACACTTAACTGATGGCCTGACTAATTGTTGCTGAGATCTAATACTTGTCTTACGGGAAGGCAAGGTGAGATTTGATAGGCAGCCTGCAGCCTTAGTGTTTTGGTAGTGCTTTCATAATTAAGTATATAAGGTCGACAAGCATTGCATTTATATGAGCAATAAAGGAGATTCCGAAGCATGCAACAACATCGATATACAAACGGAATTTTTTTTGTTTTTTTTTTTTTTTTAACCAGCAATTTTTCCGTTAATATCCTAGAATGTTTTTCCCAAAATTTAAACATCATGAGAATGATAATTTTGATTATTGTTAGCAAAGGCACTTTGCACAATAATCATTCGTCTAATTTGCATCGAAACTTCCTGAAAACGAAGACGATAGTCTGTATCACCGAGCGTAGTACTGTTAGTGTAACGAAAACTTCGTACACTTAACGTTCTACATAAAGATAAAATTAAAAATGGAAATTTTAGCAAAAGACAAGAGACAAACATTTCTTTTTTTTATATAAGTTAGACGTGGGAATAATGTCTATGAAAATGAAATTCGGAATAATTGCACTTTACTCACCTATTTGTTATTAATTCTTTGACCTTTTTCTTCATGACGAATAGCATGAATATAATGAAACCTTGGATAGCATTGCAAACATCGCCTACGTAAAATATCTTTGACCAGGATACTTTTGATCCAACAAAATACGACATTATTTCCCAAGTCCAGGTCACGCCCATTACCAAAAATAATCGTAAAAATAAGCAAAATCTAGCGAAAACAACAATAGCAAAAAAAATATATAAATAAATAAATAGATAAAAAAAAAAAAAAACATATAAAAACTTACCGATCCTTCTCATTACGTAAGTTTTTAGTGCTATCTTCGCGTGCCATTATTTTTGACATTTCCTTTTGTACTTTATGAATTTTGATAGCAGTCATTATGAACATGATGATATTAGTGAAAACTATAACGATAATGGGACCGAAGAAATAAATCATCGGAGACCAACTGAGCACTGAAGAGGGAAAATAAAAATTATATAACATCAAATATTAAAGAAAAATTGATAAATAAATACAGTGAGCTCTTACTATTTAAAAAGCAATATTCGATACCGATACCGGGTTTTAAATAGGCAGGTATATCGGATATTTCTTCGGCATAAAAGGTTAATATTAAAAATACTAAAGCCATGCCCCAAGCATATAAAGAATATAATAAATATCTGCGCTTTTCCTGGAAACGATTAATGCCTCGCGAACCCCGAAAATTATGCCACAAATCAAATCCTATAACGTGTAACCAAAAGAAGGCAGCCACAAAGGCATAATAGGTAGTATAAGCTGAAAAAAAAAACAAAATAAATTTTTATCGAATCGATTCTTAAAATTTGTTTTATTCTTCGGCTTTGACATGGTTACCTGATAATTTACATAAAATGATGTCAATATTTGGATCCATTAGTAACGTATTGAACGATAACAACGAATAACCCACAGATAAGCCCAATAGGTAACAAACTAAAGACTTTCCATGTTGGTTACGCAACTCTGGTATCCATAAATACACGACAATAGTCAATACCATAAATGGTACGGAGAAGAGCATGGTATAGGCGTTGATTACTTTTGATCCGTAGAAGTCGGAAGCGACGTCTACGCATATGGCCGGATTTAAAATATAAGTGGAGTCCGTTCTATTATTTATGGTTGTCGGTACAAAACAATAGTTTTTAATATCCAAGATGGCCTGATCAAATTCACGCACCAACGAACCATTCTAAATAAAAAAAAAATTAATATTTATTGAGGAGAACGGAGGCAAGATATTAGAACTGAAGGCATAGAGCTAAATTTTCTTCGTTTTCTTTTTCTTTTTTTTTTTTTTTTTTACTCACTTCACATAGATGCCATTCATCTTCGACATCCAATTCTGGCCTTATGACATACATCCACAAACAAGGGCGAAAATTGACGACAGCAAATTGTTCGGCTATTAAATTTTCCTGTATAGTCCCGTCGGCCTGTGTAACATTTAACGTGGTCGGCCATAAAAAATCATTATCGATTGCTTCACATTGTGACGTGTTACTCCAAAATTGCGAACCCATCGGGCAGCATAGATTTATGCATGGTCGTACTTTACATATGCATCCTCTTAGATGGGGTGAGACCGGCACGCGTGTCTGCAGATTTGCAAAAACATAATCATAAACTCCAATCCAATTCGGCGGTATCACTACGTCATCATGTATAACGGAACCGTTCGCCAATCGTATATCATCCGTTATATTCACCGTCTGATAAAAGGGACACGGTACATTACGGCTATCATGGGCATGATATTTTCCATGTTTAACTGATGCAAACGATTTCGGTAAAAGTAATACAAAAACGAAAACTATTAGATGGAAATAATATTGTTTAACTGGTCTCGGCAAGAGCATGACGATGCAAAACAAGTTAGCTGATGATGAGCTCTAAAATAGAAAGATAAAGGAATGAATGTTTACTCATAACTCGCTTGACATAAAATAAAAATAATTATCCTGCAATTTACAAGAGGAAAAACAATTACATTCATTGCATATGAAAAAGGCATAATAGTAGAAAAAAGTACAACATTTTTTAGTTTAGCAATGGGACTATCCCCATGAGAACAATTCTCCCCATAGATATAAAAAACAAAAATACTTTACTTTTTAATGTTACATCATGCGGTGCATGCTCTTCAACTTTGGTATAAAAAAGGCGTGTTTGCATATGCAAAGAGAAATTACTAAGATTCTAATAACAAGTTTATACACTTTCTTAAGCCCGTCACCAAAAGATAGACATACGCCTGTTTAGTACGCTTAAAACTTAATTATTCCCATCAGCAGAGTGAAATTATAAATGGATTTAATTATGTATGTTCGCCTATTCATCCTTAAGCTGAGCTAAGACTTTAAAGATATTTACATATATTTAAGTGCAGAGCTACCAGTTTGATGTAGACATTTGTATAGAATTAACCAAATTTATTAATAACAGGTAAGAAACATAAGACTGAACAGAATTCGGAAAAATGCATGAATTCGAAATTCTGTCCCAAATATTTGTTTACAAAGGCTGTATAACAACTTTTTCACACAGTAACGATTTGCATATATTTAGGGAAAGATGGCGAGCATTCAAAGGCACCTTCCGAACTATGAAGTATTATCTCTTTTGCTTTGATTAAATATGCATTTTCCTAGCCTTCACCGAGCCATTTTGTCAAAATGTTATCAACACTGGAAAAGAAGCTTCAGAGGGTCTGCGAAATACAGATATTCTTGATCATTACTTGAAATACTTGTCTGTGCGTTTGTGTAATGACTGTAGTAAATATCTCTCCATCTGTCTCTCTCACACGCACACACCCGCACTCTCTCTCTCTCTCTTTCTTTCTTTCTTTCTTTCTTTCTCTTTCTCTCTTTCTTTCTTTCTTTTTCTTTCTCTCTCTCTCTCTCTCTCTCTCTCTCTCTCTCTCTCTCTCTATCTATCTATCTATCTCTATCTCTATCTCTGTCTCTATCTCTATCTCTCTGTCTCTCTGATGACCAAAATCAAGATGTCCGCTTCAAACAAACATTAGAAGTTCTTGCACACAGCTTGATATTGAAAAATCGATCAAAATTTATGCCCACCGTGCATAATTTACTTCTTAAAGATTTATTTATATATTTTTCACCAGTTTACGTCATAAAATACAAAATAAATTAGAGTTCGTCGCGATATAATGGCCTATTTTTCATGAGAAACTGTATATAGGGTGCGATCTAAAAAACTAGACCTATGTGATCCAAATTTCGTAAAGTTGATTTTGATAGCAACTTACCAACATTTCAAAAATTAAATCATCTTGCCAAGGACTTACTGTTACTGGTGAGAACCCTTATATGAAATGATGTTCACAAAATACACCCATTTGGTCCGTACATGATCTAGTTGATTTTTGTCATGTTATTTTTACAGACCTTTGTGGCATATAAGGCTTAATTTTTCTTTTTTTTTTTTAGTAAGAATCCTGACATGGGGCCCCGTTCAAAAACTATGCCTACTTGATCCAAAGTTTATATACTCCAGTTTTCTGTCAAATTATGAATCAATTCAAAATCCTATTTTTCATTATCCGTTCTATTACACCCTTATATTGTCGTGGCGTCTATGAAATAGACCTACATAGTCCAAATTCAATTAGCTCAATTTCTGTGCTAAATTACTATGGATCGAATTCCATTGTGAAATATTGAAAACTAAATCTTTTCACCATACGATGATTCAATTCTTGCAAGAACGTTTATATGGTTACATGATAGAAACTGTCCCATTCAATCCAAATTTTCCATACCAATTTACAATTTTGAAATACTACCACTTTTACAATATACAAGGCGTTACATGCACGGGAAGCGGTCGCAAAAAAAAGGACCAATTCTATGCATTTTCAAAAGTGTTCGTTCTTGGTCAAAACAGTACAGTCAATATACGAAACTCTATAAAGATATCTCGAAACGTGTAGCAAGAATAGCAATGCATGGATGTATATCAAACAGAGAATAACGATAGCGGACGGACAACTATCTATATGTCGACTTTTCAAAGAAAAACTTTTATTTGGAAAATAATCGAAATATGACAAAGGGGCAGACGGACAGAACCATTTTCTGAATCGATCGGTATAATAAAGTGTAAATCTATCTTAAGTCCCTTAGGGTGTTACATACATCCTTACAAAATTCACGATCCTTTTAAGAAACAAATTGTAAGTAAAGTATTAAAGACTCGGGGACACAATCGAATATAATTTTCTTACTTGTTATAGACGAATCCAGTCATTAACATATAACACACATTTATTTCACAAGTTGTCAAGTTTATATTTTTCCATTATCATGTATTTTTATTGGATTTAATAGTTGCAGTAGACTGCACTTGCACTTAATAACTTGGTGTTTGAAAAAGCTTTATTTCAATATTTTCAAATTGCTCACAAGGGATATGCCCGTTGCATTGCAAGGAAATAAAATAAAAAAGAAACTATATGCGACTTACAGCAAATCTTTTGTTAGACATCTTCGCCTTGTGTACAATATTTAGTTGTAAGATGGAGCGAAGCTCAGAGTATAGAGGCTCGCACTCTACACATGTATTGAATTACATATTGTATGTATCTCGGATATATATCAGTTCAAATTTCTGCACAATTTGATAGCTCTTTGTAGGTAGTTGTCCTACTCATATATGCTTTTCTCCTTCGAATAATTATTTGATTCGATTAAGTGTTTTTTTCGAGCTTCACTTCGCTTTAGGAGCGATTTTATTCAGGAAAGATTTTGGAAACTCGATTTTGACAGAAACAGTTGGTTAAATTGACATATGACATCGTATGGCATCGATGTTCTATTAAGGCCATGTTTATACATACTTTGTAGAGTCTGCCTATTTTGACGTGTTACAGATATTTACAAAATCCGATATATCATCTGTGCCGGATATGAGAGCATTGTTTTTAAATTTGTATACCCCCTTTATTACTTATGATACAAGGTATATTAAGTTAGTGCGCGACATATATAACACGCAGAGAGCTTAAGATCGACTCACCTTTTATTATGCCGATCGATTCAGAATCATAATCTGCATTGATCAAAGTCTTTCTGTCCATCTGATGTCTGTACAGGTATAAAATAACACTTTTAATGTAAAAAAATTAGTTGCACTAAATATGGACCATCTCGGCCTATTTTTTGAATCGCACCCTAATGAGGATTTTGACGAAAATTGATCCTTTGCAGAGGCGAAAAGTCCAAGTTTTAATATTTGGATCATCTACACCTATTTCTGGATCCTGTCTTACGTAAGGATCACGCTTGTACTGCATTAAGTTGCCCTCTTCATGTTTTGGGCCCGCTTCCCCTTAAATACGTACATGAGAAATATGCCTTTATGTAGAAAAGAAGGTAGAAAGAGATTTCTGTGCTCTATAATAAAAATGAGAATTGTGTAGACAATATGATGTCCAGTATTTAATGGCCGGTCTTGCCCGACTATAGTGTTCTTACTTGTTTCGTTTATTTATTTATTTTTTTTTTTAATGCTTTTTAATAAATGTTTGCCGATTTATATCGTGAGATTACAAATTAAGATGAACAGTTAAGCTTTTGATTTAGCATTTGGAATACCGCTAGAGAGTAGGCACACTTCTCTATTAATTCTTCATCGACTGCGTTCAGCGCAATGGTTTCAGCTACTTCAACTTGTCTGTGTTCAGTTGATTTCTTCAAATTTTGTGTTCAACATTTTGATTTGAATTCATTGATTATTGCACGATTATTATTATACATATACATATGCGTGTGTATACTGGTTAAAAAATTTACAGAGATAATCCAATCGAGATAAGAATTAATATAGTCATCTATTGTTATTATAATATAATATTATTACTATGCCTGCTGCTGCATTATTTACTGGCTTTTATTCGTAACTTCCTCGTTGCCTGCCTAAAAACAATGTACCTTGGCGACTTTACTTCGTTATATTAAGTTTGTGCGGTCTATGTCAAATAGACGCAAATTTTATTATATCGATTGATTTAGAATCATATTCTGAATCATATTCTAAATCGATCTAAGCATATCTGAACGTCGTCTGTACGTCTGATATTTTTGTGTTTAATCTCCAGGTCTCAAGTTTTTGAGATATTTTGATGAAATTCGGTACACAGACGTACTTTGACCCAAGGATGCATAATATTGAAAACGATTCGATCGGTCTACTTTTTCGACTATTTCTCATCGCCTTATTTTCAAAATTCTTTAAATGGAGAGAAATTAAAATTTGTCCAAATTTTTCGACAAAACTCGGTAAATAAGAGTACGTCTACTTCAACATTCTAAATTGAAACATTTAATTGTCTGAAGCCCCTCTCATATAACCAGCCAAGTCCTACGAAAAGTAAATCCCGATATTGTAAAAAGGTATAATTTTCAATGTTTCATCATGACAATTGGTCCATGAAAGTAGAAGAAGAGAAGGAAAACAACCCCTATCGAATTTGGATCATATAGATCTATTTTTTGGATACCACCGGATAGAAGGATTGTCAAGAAATATAAACCCTCATATGGCAAAAAGGCCTTATTGTTAATGTTTTATAATGAAAATTTGTCCATAATAGTAAATTGACATAAAAATTGAGTCGACAAAATTTAAACCACATAGGTCTATTTCTTGGATCCCGTTTAATATAGGATTTCTCGTGAATAACAAAACCTTCAGAGAAAGTTTAATATTTTATAATGAAATTAAGCAAAAAAAAAAAAAAAAAAATAGTAGGATCAAGTAGATCTATTCTTTAGATCCTAACATATATAGAGGTCATCATGAAAAGCAAGCGCTTATATGAAGCGAACGATTAATTTTCTCTTAATGCGTAGATATCACACGCTAT